CGCAATGTGAACATGCCCAGCAGTGACGATGACTTCATCAACCCACCAAATAATCCTGCCGGTGAGGAAATATTAAAGCGTACAAGGGATGAAGGCAATGAACAGACCCCAAAAAGAATGAAGAAGAAAAGGGTTGGTGTACTAAACATCTCGATTCACTTGAGTGAATCTCGATTCACTGCATTGAATCAAGATTCACTACAGTAAACATCTTGGTGTACTAAACATCTTTAATTTTTTTTGTGTATTCAATGATGGATAATTTGATCTAATTATATTATTTTTCTCACTGGAGAAGGTTGTGAAAAACACCCCCCAAAAAAACCCTGCCGGTGAGGAAACATCAAAGCGTAGGAGGGATGAAGACAATGAACAGATCACAAAAGAAAGGAAGAAGATGAAAAAGGTTGGTGTACTAAACATCTTTATTTTTTTTGTATTAACTGATGGATAATTCGATCTAATTATATTTTTTTTGTCACTAGAGAAGTTTTTGAAAAAAAATGTGAGGTCTGAACCTAAGGAGTTGACTAGGATACGGGTCTCTCCAAAGATATTCTCTGATATGGTTTTGTCACTCTCTAACTCCCAAAAAGAATGGGTGAGACTAGCTGGACTTGGAGGTCTTTTACAATTTGGATTAAAGGAACTGCCACATATGTTGGGGTACCAGATTCTGCAGTCCTTTGACAGTGAATCCGTTGCGCTTAATCTTCCCAGAGGATCAATAAGTATCATAGAGGAAGATGTACATCAAGTGATGGGATTACCTCTGGGCAGGAAGCGTATACCAGCCTCCAGTATTGGGAAGTCAGCATTGGTGGATGAATGGAGGGCTCAATTCACAGACAGATTTGGTTGGAAAATTACTCCAGGGGCTGTGTCTGAGAAACTGAAGCAGAGTTCTGATGTTAACCTGTTTTTTAAACTAAATTTCTTGGTTCTCTTTCACAACAGCATGATCCAGTCGCTTAACAATCCGTATGTCAACCAACGGATTCTAGTTCTTGGTGACAATGTTGATCAGTGCTCTGAATACAATTGGTGTTCTTTCTTGCTTGACTCAATGATAGAAAGCCAACACAAGTGGAAGGTTGACCCGACAAAACAATTCTACATGGGTCCTCTTGCATTCTTGATTGTAAGTCACTTGTATAATATTGATTTATTTTTACATTACTGTAGTTAAAATAGTTTTACTTGATGATTACTAATTGGTGTGCTTTATTTCTTATCTCCGTCTTTCTAGCTGTTCTATGCCGATCGGGTTCTGTTCAAAGGGAGGAGGTTGGTTGAGAGAACAACCCCTACATTTTTAGGCTGGACTGACTTGGCCTTGAAGGAAAGACAGTCAGAGGAAATAAGTACAAATTCATTTGGCAAAGGTGCATTTACAGAGAGGGTTGAACTTGCACCTTCATCTCGAATGCAGATTGCTACTGGAAACTCGCCTAAAAGTGTTGATACAATTAGAAAGGTTAGCAAATTAAGTTGCAAGTCTTTGTTTATTCAATTTAATCTCAATTTAGTAGGAGTGAATCTCGATTCACTTAAACTGAATGTCGATTCAGTACAACGAATCGTTTTACTAGTAATGAATCTCGTTTCAGATCAGTGATTACCGATTAAGTTAAACTAAATTCCGATTCACTTAAGTGAATCTGGATTGAATGATACTCAATATCAATTTACTGAAGTGAATCTGGATTCACTACTACTGAATCTCGATTCACTAAAGTGAAACTGGAATTATTTTAGTCGACTTTGGATTCAGTCATTTGAATCTTGATACAAATACATTGAATGTAATCTCAATCTATCGAATCTTGTCTCTCGCCATGTTAATAATTTATGGTGACCAATGTCTGTGATATTCAAACTGCAGGATTGTATTGAGAGGGTTCAACGGAGAGCTACAGAGTTAGAATCTGCAAAAGATAGATATGATGCTGAGTGTGAGACAATGAGAAAGCTGTTTCTCAATGATAATGAGCTCTTTCAAATTCAACAGAGAGTTTCAATGTTCATGTGCAGGGGTGTGGACATCGTGTAAGTACCTGTGACGATGAAACAGCTGTGGAAAACATTGTTGATGATACCCCTAATGTGAACACCAAGGTGAGTAGAGATATGCATGGTTCCCCTGCTGTTGATCCAATATCAGCTGAGATACCACAAACACAAGTCTCCCCAAAGTTTATTCAAGAAGTTGATAAGATTATAGAGTCTGTTAGCATGAAAAAGGTTGACAGACCAGTGAGGCGGAAGCTCAGCGAATGTGGTACCCCACAAACTGAAGAACCTAGTTTTTCTCTTAGGCTGACACATGATACTCAAACCGAGACAGTGGAAATGGTTGATGTTGTTCAGATTGCTAAAGCTTGTGAATCTGAAATCATTGATGACTCTGTACGAAGAACTGATAAACAAGCTGAAGATGCTGCTGCAGTAGATGAATGTAAAGGTAAGAAAGTTCAGGTGACCGAAAATAAGGGACATGCGGGAAGGGGGAAAGAAAAAAAGGATGGTGAAGCCTGCAACGTCTCTTCGGTCACCATAGGTGCAGAGGGTATCTCAGATTACTGCTAGGCAAAGTCAGCTGGAAAGCATCATATGGAATTGGGTACATAGAGAAGAAGCAAGGCATTTAGGAGATGATTCTGCTGGAGAAGAGAATTTGTGAGTTCTTAAATCTTAGTTGATATTTTATTTTTAGGTGTGAGACTCACTGTTTTTAGTATTTTGTCCCTTTATTAAATTGAATATTGCTACTATTTTTTCAGTGAAATGGTTTTTAAGTGGAGACAAATTGAATGTTTCTTACCTGCTTTCAAGACTTTCCTTCCTACTGAGGACATTGAGGCAAATGTAATCAGCATTTGGTCCTATATTTTGAATAGCAGAGAAAAAATAAAGTCCGAAAATTCTCCACTTAGATTCTTCTGCAATGTTGAGACAACCGTACGTATCTTCCTTTATTTTATTTAAAATAACACTTGAGTTACATCTTATTTAACCAGTTTTATGTTGTACAGTTTTGCAACATTCATCACACAGATGAGGCCAATGATGAATTGAGATACAGTCGGTTTGCTTCCCGTATGGATGAGCAACTTGCTCTGTATCCACATATGAAGTTTAATGAGATTGATATGGTAAAGATTCGAAGACAATGTTTTTGTTCTTTAACCCAATTTTAACTATATCTGTAAAATCTCTGATTAAATTTCACAACCATTAGGTCTTCTTTCCCATAAATGCGTTTGAGCATTTCTACATTGTGTGCTATGGGCTAAAGAATCCAAGTATGGAGCTGATTGACAATAGCAAAAACTGCCCAGACTACAAGGAAAAATACCAAGGTCGTCCTGAGGGTTTGGTATGTTTTTCCACCTTACGTATGTTCTTTAAACATTTACTGGCAGAATACAGTAATAAGTGAATCTGGATTCACTATAGTGAATCTGGATTCACTAGAGTCAGAGAATTCCAGATTTGCTAACTCTAGTGAATCTCGATCACTAGAGTTAGTGAATCTGGATTCACATCTTACTATGAATCTCGATTCAGTAGAGCTAGTGAATCTGTGTTCACATCACGTAATCAAGATCCACTAGCTATAACTAGTGATCTGAAATCTCGATCAATAGAGTTAGTGAACCTGGATTCACATCTTACTATGAATCTCGATTCAATAGAGCTAGTGAATCTGTGTTAACATCACGTAATCACGATCCACTAGCTATAGCTAATTCTAGTGAATCCAGATTCACTAGTGTGAATCCAGATTCATTAGAGTGAGTCCAGGTGAACTAACTCTATTAAATCCTAGCGAGCTAGATCCAATGAATCGTGATTCACTGTCATTAATACTATTTCCATATAAACAACCAAAACAATTTGTATATTACATTAAACATTACTGTATAATAATTTGGATTTGTTATGTGACACTGATTACTTTTGATTAAACAACACCAGAATTTTGTGAGATATTTGGCACACAAAAAACATCGCAAGGCGAGTGAAATAAACACATTAACGCCTGACAGACTTGAGATGGAGTGGAGAACAGCCAAAAACAAATTTGATTGTGGTATTTTTGTCATGAGACATATGGAGACCTACATGGGCGGTGGTACAGCAAATTGGAATTCTGGTTTTCATAGAGAGGGTGTAAGTGCATAATTTTCAATGTTGAAGTTTACAGTTATTGAGTACTATATAAGAATAGATTTGTCATAATTTCGATTTCAGCAGAGATTGGGAGATATAATCCAATTTTTTATGTAACATACAATAAAATAATCATACTTATTGTGGATTGTATGTATTTAATCTGGAATCACTGTTTCAATATTATCTTAAGTTATTACTAATTTATTTGATTGAAACTAGATTCACTATAGTGAATCTAGATTCAATGCAGTGAATCTCGATTCACTACACTGAAAAATTCAGTAAGTCAATATTATCTTAAGTTTTTAGTAATTTATTTGATTGAAAATAGATTCACTATAGTGAATCCATATTCAGTTCAGTGAATCCAGATTCACTACAATGAATCTATATTCATTATAGTTAATCCAGAATCACTTAAACCGAAACAATCAAATAATTTGATTGTTTTGATTGATTATAATGAATCCCTATAGTGATATGGAGATTCAATATCAGCGAATCTAGATTCACTACAATGAATCTAGATTCAATATAGTTAGTCCAGAATCACTTAAAGCGAATCAAATTTAAACTGATGACTGCATACAACTACTTTATCATTTATTTTGAAATAATACAACTAATAATAATGGAATTCACATGCTATATGAGTAGATCTCAATTCAATATACTAACATGACACAACGTAACCATGTAATTAATAATCTAGTAAATATATGTAGTTAAGAATTATATGTAGTTAATAATTACACAATTCAGAAATTTTAATAAGAAATGTATTTATAAACATGTGTTTGAAACAAAATATGTCGACTAAATTAAACATCACTTTGCTGTATTGTTTTCTTTAATGGGCATGTCCGTGCGTCATGGAAATCGATTTTTTTGCACATATTACACAGCCTTGGCACCTTTTTCTTTCGTTGAGTAATTGATTTCTCATAATCACCAACAATTCTCCGTCCACAACCCTTGTTTCTACCTTCAATGGGAGGTTTAACGATCACTTCCGCTGGTATTTTTGAGCCAACAAAAAACTCCATTACATCATTTTTGTTCTGTGTGTCAGATTTCCAACTAGATTCACGCAAACTGTGCTTCAACTCCTTCAACTTCCCTTCCAGGTAATCAAGTCTCTCACCATCTAAACCTGCCAAACTCACACAAGATTGGAAATCATACCATATATCATTCAACTTGCGATTTGTAACTTCAATTGCATTGTACTGTTCTGATATTTCCTTGAACTGCAATGAATGCCTCATCTCAGCACCTTTTGTCCATCGGTTCACAACATGATGTCTTGGTATTTTTGTTACATCAGCTTGGTTCAGTGCAAAAAAACCATGTCTACATACTATACCCATTTTCTCAAACAGCCTACACGTACATTGCACGTCATTGTTCAAATAAGCGTGTTTCACCTAAAATTTAAAAAACAATGTATATTAGCACCGAATAAAAAAAGAAAATGACAAGCGAATGAAATGGTCACTGAATCTCGATTCAGTGGTGTGAATCGAGATTCACTTCGTTGAATCACGATTCACTGCATTGAATATGGATTCAATTTTTATTGTTTCAATCTCCATTATTAAGTTTTACCTCAAATATTTTTCCATGTCTCTTTTTGTCCTTTAAGGAAAAAATCTTCACACCATCTTCTTCTGATATACTGTTGATACTCATATCATAACAGGATGACATTATCTCTTTCTGTACCTCATAAAACATTGTTCGAGTGTACAACTCTGCTGCATCCCTCTCCAATAATAATAGCGTGTCCATTCTTGGCATCGACTTTGTTCCTTCATAGTTTAATCTTGCATTTGTATGCCTTTGCTTCTCCAAAGCACTCTCGTATCGGAGATAAAATTATGTCAATGTGTCAGATCTACGGTTGAATTTGTCAAAGAAACTGTTCTCACTCTCTGATATTAATGTAGTACGCAATAAACCAGCCATTGGATCATCAGCATAATAGGCTGGAATCCATGACTCCCGAATGTTATACAGTTCACACAACCATTCATTACTTTCAAGCTTAAATTCTTTCATAACATCTTTCCAACCTACTTCAAATGTTTTGGATCTATATCTATACTCCAAATCAGTGCATTTATCTTCCTCTTGAAATCATCCATCTTCAAAATGCATTTTGCCAACTACAATATAAATATATAACAAAAGATTCAGTATTTATCTAATGAGGATTCATTATATTTATATGTGAGATTCATTACCTTTTGGTTAAATTTCTTCATGATGTGCCACATGCACAAACGGTGACGTGCTTCTGTAAAGACGGTTGGTATAGCTTGCTTCATGGCAGGGCACTGATCTGTAACAATACACTTTGGCTCGCGAATCATGCATTTCATGAATACCTCAAAAATCCAGACATAGTTATCAATGTCCTCTTTAGCTATCAATCCTGCTGCAAATACAACACACTTCTTATAATTGTCGAGACCAGTAAATGGAACAAACTTCATGTTGTACCTATTGTATCACATACAAAAAATATAAGATTCACTATGACATATAATTACAATATTGAAAATCGTAAGAGATTAGCTATAAAATCTTACTTGTTTGTGGAATATGTAGAGTCAAATGATATCACATCTCCAAATACATCGTAATTTCTTCGTCCAATAACATCTGCCCAAAAAATGCGAGTTAATCGACCACCTTCATCGACTGCATAATCATAGAAAAATCCATCACTCATCTCCTTCTTATCCGTGAACTTCTCGATGATCATTTGAGCATCTCGATCACCAATATAAAGCTTCACATCCAATTTTTAAACTCGGTACACATAGCACCAACATTAGAATAACTTCCACACAACTCCTTAGCAAAGTTATATGTTTTGTTAGGCCCCATGTTGGCTTTTGCTCCATCAAATACAAGTTTCTTATGTGCGAGACCGAGAACTCTATTTGACTTCAAAAATTGTTTCCCACTACCGGAGACCAAAAAATGAGAATGCTCTTCAAATAAGGAGAGAACATTATATCCTTTCAAACCATCAAACTTAAAAACGACTTTAGCTTTGCAACCACATCTACTAGATACAGTTCTCCTTCTCTTTTTCGAACTGCTACTAAAATCCTCATAATCAACATCCATCTTTGATTCATTGCTGCCAGCTCTACTGCAAACAATGTGTTTAAGAAGAACTGTACCGTCCTCATGTTTCTTCTCTGTATGCCGTCTGATCTCAAACCCACTTTTACGTCCATATACGAATGTAAACTCCTAGATAATAAGTCATATGACTAAGTTTTGATATACTGAATCTGGATCCATTACAATGAATCTAGATTCACTGGAGTGAATCTAGATTCACTGGAGTGAATCTTGATTCACTGCATTGAATGCATGTTATTGCTAATTAATCTGGAGTGAATCTCGATTCACTGCATTGAATCCAGATTCACTACAGTAAACATGTGAATACATTATGAAAATCACTGCATACTCTAACAACTAGAACGTGTTCAACTGAATTCAAGCTCTCCAACTAAATTTACATAAAATGTTTACGAATGTAAACTCCTAGATAATAAGTCATATGACTAAGTTTTGATATACTGAATCTGGATCCATTACAATGAATCTAGATTCACTGGAGTGAATCTAGATTCACTGGAGTGAATCTTGATTCACTGCATTGAATGCATGTTATTGCTAATTAATCTGTAGTGAATCTGGATTCAATGCATTGAATCCAGATTCACTACAGTAAACATGTGAATACATTATGAAAATCACTGCATACTCTAACAACTAGAACGTGTTCAACTGAATTCAAGCTCTCCAACTAAATTTACATAAAATGTTTACGAATGTAAACTCCTAGATAATAAGTCATATGACTAAGTTTTGATATACTGAATCTGGATCCATTACAATGAATCTAGATTCACTGGAGTGAATCTTGATTCACTGCATTGAATTCATGTTATTGCTAATTAATCTGGAGTGAATCTCGATTCACTGCATTGAATCCAGATTCACTACAGTAAACAAGTGAATAAATTATGAAAATCACTGCAGTCTCTAATAATGAATCTCGATTCAATGCAGTGAATCTAGATTAACAACTAGAACGTGTTCAATTGAATTCAAGCTCTCCATTTAAATCTCCAAAAAATATTTAAGAATGTAAGCTCCTAGATAATAAGTCATATGACTAAGTATTGAAATACTGAATCTGGATCGATTACAATGAAAACATGCATGAACCTGCTCACCTGAATTCAAGCTCTCCATTTAAATCTCCATAAAATGTTTAAGAATGGCCAGATAATGGACGATGAACGAGAGAGCTCAAATACGATGAAGGACAGATGAACGAGAGAGCTGAAGGACAGATGAACGAGAAAGCTGAAGGACGATGAAGCTGGTTGTGGAGTGACTAGGAGACGATTTCTCGATGGAGAAAGAGATGAAGGACGATGAACGAGAGATGCTAGTTGTGGAGTGAGAGGACTCTTGTTCTTGACTGTTGGGTTGCCTGAGCCGTGAGATTGCATGGGGAATGGAGAACTCAACAGACAAGCATTAATTACCTCTCTTTAGGGGCTGTTTATTTTACCTGATTACCCTTATGCAGCTTTAATCTCAGCCATTGGATGAATCTAGATCAAATGGAGAGGATTGGTTTTTAGTTTTTAGGATAGTAAGGTTTTTATACACACACACACACACACACAAAAAAAATAACAAACAATTATGTTTTTCTTTACCAAGTTTTGAAATTTCAGCCTTTTATGGTTTTGAACTTTAAGGGTGTGATTTGTAATTTTTAAAACTTTAGAAATGTTTTCTAAAAATTTTTACTTTTAAGTTTGGTAGTTGTAACTTCTATGTTTCATGTGTTGGTGGTAATTTTTAAATGTCTAAATATTCCTTGCAACTCTTAAAATTTGAGAATACTTTTTACAATTATTAAAACTTTGGGTTATTCTTTAAAAATTTAGATTTCAGCGGTCTGTCAATAGTTTCCATATTTGATGCGTACTAGTTATAAATTTTAAAATTTTAGAGTTTTTTGTTATTTTTAACTTTTGAAGGAGTTTTGTTTTTTGTAATTTTTGTAACTTTAAGGTTGATTTTAATAAATTTTAATTTTTTAGGTGCTTGATGGTAATCACTTTAATTCATCTATGTTATTTATAAGTTTTAAAATTTTAGAGTATTTTTTTACAATGTAAACTTTTGAAGATGTTTCTATAATTTTTGAGACATTAAGGGTGTTAATTGTAAATTTTAAATTCTTCAAAAGCTGTTGTTAGTTTCTTCATTTCATGTTTGTTATTTTAATTTTTGAAATGTCAGAAATTTTCTAGTGCATCATGGTAATCCCTTAAATTCATCTATGTTGTTTGCAAGTTTTAAAATTTTAAAATTTCTGAGTGCTTGTTTGTAATATGAACTATTGAGAGTATTTCTATAATTTTTGAGACATTAAAGGTGTTAACTGTAAATTTTAAATTCTTCACATGTTCCTGTTAATTTCTTGATCTTATGTTTCTTGTTTTAAGTTTTGAAACGTCAGAATATTTTTTTTATAATTTAGACTTTTGAAGACATTTTGTGCAGTTTTAAAACTTTTAGGTTTTTTTAATAATTCTTCATGTATTACGGTAAGCTAGGTACATATAATTTCTTTATCTTAATAAACTAATACTCTAAAGATATTTTATATATTTTATTAATATTATTTTTAAAATTATTGAATTATAGACGGTTCACGTGGGATTAGGATAGGATATAATTATGATTAGTATATATTCAGATTTAAATAAAATATTCAAAATAGTGAAGGATGTAATTATGATTAGTGTTTGGTAGCAAACATACCCATTATTCTCTCTTTCTTTTCCTTTCCAATAGAGTACACCATAAACGTAGGAAATAAGCAACACGACTAATAACAGCACTCCATAACATCAAATATGATCTACAATTTCATCTAAAGACGAGATTGAGAAGGACCAAAATCCTTGTAAAACAAACTACAAAACTTTTCCATCTTACTACTTGGAAGCCTGATAAGCACACCAACTCCTTTATCAACCCCTGGAGACAACATAACAACTTTTGTTTTTGGATCCGGCACGGGGCAGAAATACTTGGGCTTGCCCCATTCGAACTCCATCTCTCCAAAATCTAGCTTCCACCAAGATGTCACAATAACATCGCCGATCGGAAACCTTACACTTACTTGGCATGAGTCTATCGCTGATCGAATGTATTCATCGGTTATTCTCGCGACGCCCTCGCTAACCATTTTCACTATATTCGGAAATGGACTCGTATCAAGATCTCTGCACGTCGCTTTTGCATATGCGTAAAATACACCATTCCCCGCGTATGATGAGGGGAGGTTCGGTTGGATTTTGCGTCTGATGTCCACTGCGTAAAGCAGAGTGGACGTTTTATTTTCATCAGGTCCGTAGGTGGCGAGAGACTTGCATTTCCAAATATAAGCAGCCACTACATTGAAATTGGTAATTATCTTCGGATCTAATGTATTCCCAGCCCTTGCCTTCTCTTTTAGGGTAGAAATGTCTTTGGAGCTCAAGTGGAATTGTTTGAATTCATGGTCTTCGGGAGGAGATTTGCGCGTTGGTAGCATTTTGACTATTTCTTCTAATTTCACGTATTCAGGATGTGAGAATGTGACACGTGGAGGAGATCTGGCGGCTAAGAGCTCGCGATTGGTGTAAGGTGTTATAGCTAAACGTTGGTTGGAGATGAGGCAGGCAAGGTTTAGAAAGAAAGTTAGGAAGCCGACTCCGTCCATTGCAGCATGGTTCAGTGAGACGCCAAATGCATAGCTACCACATTTGAATAATGTAGCCTACAAAAGTTTAGCAATAATTAGTACATGTGATCAAAAGAAGAATACCTAATCTCAAACATAATTCTACCCTTTAAAAGGAAGAATAATTAATGACCCATTTCTCTGAATATTAGATAAATCTCTCTTGCTCCATCTAAAATATATATAAATCTTTCCATGAGAAAGAGAGAGAGAGAAAGAGTATGAATACACACACATACATACATATACATATATACGTACATACATACACACACACCTACATATATATAAATAGATATGCTTGGTATCAAGCCTGAACTTGATGCTTGGTAATGAGGTGACACATCCTAATCCACTCATTCTCATTAATCAACCCATATACACCCATGCGAATGTGGTCCCACTTTAAGTGGGTGGATGGGAATGAGCCACCTCACTACTAAGTATTAAGTTTGGCTTTAGGTATCAAGCATACCCATATTACTCATGTGTGTATGTGTGTATTATTTAATGGGTATGCTTTGTACAAAGCATCAAATTTGGTACTTGATAGTGAGGTGATGATCACTTCTCATCCACTCAATTAATTATCCAATCTATGTCACCCATGTGAATGTGATCCCCTTTTTAAATAAATAGATGAGAATGAGACACTTCACTTCCCAGCACACATTTAGTACTTGGTACCAAACAAACAAACAAACACACAAACACACGCGCGCGCGCGCACACACACATATGAGAAAAATGGATAACCTTGCTACCAATGATAAATTTAGTCCTTAGTAGTGATGTGGCAAAAGCTTAACCACTCATTTTAGTGTCTACACTTGAAAATGATGCTCTCCGACCCATATGCAATGGTCCGTCTTTGACTGTATGGGGTGCGTGTGTGTGTGAATAACTTGTATGCTTGGTACCAAATATAAAATTGATGTTTAGTAATAAGATGACTCATTCTCATCAACTTATTTGAAGAAGGGGATCACATTCACATGGGTAACCATGGGTTGGATAATTGATTGAGTACATGAAAAATGATTACCTCACTACCAAGCACCAAATTTGATACTTAGTGCCGAACATACCCATTATATATATGCATGTGTTTGAGTATATGACTTCATTATTATAAACTATACTTTTTTTCTAATACTTTTCAAGTCATCTTTAATTGGGTTATTTGCAAATTGACCCCCTACACTGCCGCCCAATTACGGATAGACCCTCATGTCATTCCAATTTTGTAGATAGACCCCAAACTAAAATTTTCTAACGTTTGTAACCTTAGGATAACTACTTCTCAAAAATAATTTCCTATTTCTCTAAGCCTAAAACAACCAAAAACTTTCGCTCAGGGGTTCTATTTGCAACAACAGAAGTATAGGGCTAGCTGGGGCTATGCACAAATATCAGACGATATTACAGGGGTTCTGTCTGCAAGCAACCCTAAAGATTCTTTATGTCACGTTGAGCTATTTGTTTATAAGTCTGGATACATATATTTATAAATCAGATTTTAAACATGTGGACAAATTGCACCTATTTTCGTGAATATGTTTCTTTTGCTTTTGCATGGCTCTAGCCTTAAGCCCCAAACATGCTCCTTAATGAAGTCGTTTTTACGTGACAGATGACAATGGTCACGTATGATTCACCATTTCACCTCTTGTCTTGTTTTGCATGAAGAACAAATATGCTTCCACTGGGACTTCTAAATATTAAAGATACAATATTTGGCTAATATATATAACGGGGAACCGCTGCTCTTTATACCTGAATCGCGAAAAGGGGCCTTTCTTCAAGCTCATGAGTAAGCTCCGGCATCGGAATAAGCTGCAAGAACGCAGGATTCGGATATAACTCGCCAAGGTCTTCTAACTTGAGCTCGCTCGACGCCATGACATAGCTCACCCCTGCACCGTCACAGTCGATCTCCTGCCTCCCCTTCTCATCATACTTCAATCTCCCTGCAAGAAAATCATAATGAACGAGAGCTTTCTCCATCCCCGACCGAATCATTTCCATGACTAAATCCAGAGTATATCCCGGCTTGGCCGAGAAAAATGTGACGGTTTTGACATGGAAGTTTAGGAGTTGGTCTATGTTTGATAAGAACAAGGATCTTCTCTCTGTTTGCTCTTTGGGATGTATTGTTGAGGAGTTGTGTAGGGTGATCTTGAGATCTTGGTTGAAAAAAGATCCCATGTTTTCCCCTCTCCTTTTGGGTGTCTAGCTAGGGTTTTTGATTCTTATGTACAAAACTGTTTTCGGTGAAGCTCTACTTATAGAGGCAAATATAAGTACGTAAGATGTTGGTATGAGTAGAGGGTTACGCAAAATGGCAATATGTGGTATGAGTAGAGGGTTACGCAAAATGGCAATATGGAGACAGCTGGAGATCAGAAGTAGGTGAATTTTAATGTAATTGGTTAGTAGCTAATTAAGTTGGGACCTACGTGATGGGCGTACATGATTGATCATGCTGGAGCGGAAACATGGAGCTGTACGTATATTAATATTGATGTGATTTGTAAACTTTTAGGGAGTTAGTTGGGGCGGTTATGGTGCACGTTAGCAGGCGATTTTTCTCCTGCTAACTTACGCCCACGCCGAGTTTCAATGGTGAGAAAGAAGAAAGAGCAGTGGGGTTAAGATCCTTGGCATTGGTTTGAGATCATCGATCTCGAATTCTCTCATGTTTGAAGATCAATCTGATAGTGGAGCAGCTGAAATCGAAGATGGTGATAGTTTGATCATGAGATCGACTGGTCCTAAGGGAGGCAAGAAAAGCAAATCAATAGCGGAAATTCTCTCAAATTCTTTAAATGATCCTGTTCAAGCTGTTCCTGTTACAAATTTGAGTGGAATTCAAGATCGTCATCTTTATCAATCTGATAGTGGAGCTGCTGAAATCGAAGATGGTGATAGTTTGATCATGGGATCGACTGGTCCTAAGGGAGGCAAGAAAAGCAAATCAATGGCGGAAATTCTCTCAAATTCTTTAAATGATCTGTTCAAGCTGTTCCTGTTACAAATTTGAGTGGAATTCAAGATCGTCATCTTTGTAAGTCTCCTCTAGCTTGTAATATTCCCTCTGGTAGAGTTTCTTGGGCTGAAGAATCTGAATTGGAATCCTCTGTTTCTTCATTGATTTCATCTTCAAAAGTTGAACAAGTTCTTTTGAATGCCAATTTTAAAATGAATAAGGAATCTGTTTCTTTGAGGTTGAAAGAGAGAAATAATGGCTTAAATGAGCATACTAGTACTGATTTTCCTCCATTAGACAAATCTAAAGATTCAACTTACGAGAATAATCAAGAAAAGTACAAAGATACTACTCAAGATCATCAAAAGCCTGTCAGGAGCTGGTCTAGTCTTTTTTCAGATAATAGAAAACCTGGTAGTGGCATGGTTCTAAATTTTGTGCATTCTGTGAGCAAAGATGAAGTTGTTTTTGATGAGGAAGAATGGAATGAGGGTGCTTCTTTGTGGAAGTTCTCTTTAATTGGACAGGTAATGGGATTAAACATTAGATTTAAAGCTATGGAGAACTATATTAGGAAAGTTTGGCCTCACATTCCAGAAATTTGTCTCCTTAAGGCTGGTCTCTTTCTATTCAAATTCAAAAATAATGAGGAGATGAATGATATCCTTAGCCTGGGTCCTTGGTTTATTGGCTCCAAACCTATCCTCTTGAAGCCGTGGTCTATTGGAGAGGATATTGGTAGAACTAATGAGTGTACATATCCCTTATGGATTCAATTACCAGCATTGAAATTAAATTTGTGGAATCAGAAAAGTATCAGCAAGATTATCAATGTAATAGGCAAGCCCATCACTATAGACAAACTTACTACCAACAGGCAGCGGTTGGCCTATGCAAGAGTTCTGGTTGAGGTTTCTATGCCCTCTCCTCTCCATGATCAAATAACAATTCAGGGTCCAAATAGAAAGCATTACAAGCAAAAAGGTGATATATGAATACAAGCCTAGGTGGTGTGAATTGTGTAAAAATGTTGGTCATGACACAACTTTCTGTAAAAAGAATCCTAGAGTCCAAAGATGGGTGCCTAAGCATAATATAGCTCCTGGAAAGAATATTCCCCTCTCCCAGGGCCATGTGAATGATGCTATTAAGCAAAACTCATTTGATTCAACTAAAGCTGGAGAGAATATAGATCAGATATCAATGCATAAAGTTTTACATGCAAATAACAAATCTGTTACAGGGAATTCAATTGTGCAGGAGCCTGTGCATGTTGTGCATGCTTTAAAGGCTGATGACAATTTTAAAGTTAAGAGTTATGGTGAACAAGAACCTGTGCAAGTCGGGAATGTTTTGAAGGCTGATGGCAGATTTGAAATAGGAGGCTCTAGTGAGCAGGAGTTTGTGCATGTTGTGCACGTTTCACAGTCAGATAGTAGAATTAAAGCTGGGAAAAATGTTAAACAAATGTCAACACATGTTGGGCATCTTTCCACTCATCAGAAACCTGGATTTGTGCTATCTAAGCATGGTCTTCTATATATGCAAGGAGATGCTAATGACAATAAAGCTATGCTTGCTAATAGAGGTTCATGTATCACTGAGCCTGTGCAAGTACAGAATTTAACAAGTGCATCTGATAATTCATGGTCTATAATTCAAAAGAAGAAGCTAAAGAGTTCTATTAGACCTGACAACTCTTTTGCTCATCTAGAGACCTTGGTTACTGACCCCTCTACAAGCAATAGAGGGGTTTTATTTCAATAATGAACTTTTCATTTTGGAATGTTAGGGGACTGAATAAGTCCTCTAGGCAACATTTGGTGAAACAATATATATCTCAATATCTTCTCTCTTATTTGGCTTTGCTGGAGACAAAGATTAAAGCTAGTAAACTTCCTAAAGTTGTCAGAAAAGTAGTAAATGGCTGGAATTGGTTATCCAACTCAAGTCAAGATAGGAAAACAAGAATTCTGATCTTATGGAATCCTAATATTTTATATGTAAATATGGTTCATCTCTCTGATCAATTTATAACCTGCTCAGTCAAATCCTTGGATGGGAGATTTGATGGTGTCATTTCTACAATCTATGGGTTTAATCAAATGGCTAATTTAAAGGATATCTATCAATCAGTTGGCAACTCACCTTGGCTTTTGTGTGGGAACTTTAATTCAGTGATTAGTAATGAAGAGAAATTAGGAGGTTCTTTACTCTCTGATATTGATCTAAATGATTTCAGGGAATTTATCTTTGACTGCAAGCTTAACCATCTGAAAACTATAGGAAGCTTTTATACATGGAATAACAAACAAGACTCATCCTCGAGAATTTGGTGCAGGTTTGACAGAGCCTTGATAAATGATGTATGGTTGAATAATTTTAACTCAAGTCAAGTTGAGTTCCTTACCCCCAACTTTTTAGATCATTCTCCTGCTCTAGTTTCAGTTTACGAGGATTGTGTGTAGGGTAAAAGGCCTTTTAAATTCTTTGATATGTGGATAAAACATGAAAAATTCCTCCCTGCTATTGCTAGTATATGACAGTCTAATGTTGTTGGTTACAAAATATACTCTGTGTGCACTAAGCTGAAAATTTTGAGAGGTGTTCTCAAGGATTTAAACAATAGGCATTTCTGCAATATTAGTGTAAGGACCATAAACTTTGATACTAGTTAAAATAAATTTTTTAATATTTTAAAATATTTAATTATGATTTTTAAAAGATTATTTATATTTTTCTTGAATTTCTATAATTTTCTATGATTTAAAGTCTAAGTTTTATATTTATTTAAATGATATTAATATTATAAATTAATTTTATGCGGTGAAAATTTATAGAATTTATCTGTTGAGTTATCGATGCTGTTACATGTCATTTTGAATAATACGTTGTATTATTTTTATTATTACGTATATTTTTGTATAATACGTTGTATTATTAATTACATATTATTTGTACAATTAGTTATATTATTTCTACTATTACATATTATTTGTCGTATTAGTATAACTGGTACGTTTTACTGTGTATATAATTATCCCATAATTATTTGATTTTAAATATAATTAAATATATTTTTATTATTAATTATTCTCATTTAATTGTACAATATGTGTATATTTCGACTATTTCGTATCAACTATTGTATTAGTATAACATGTACGTTTTTAATTGTAGATAATTATTTCATAATTAGTTTAATTTTTAAGTATCCGTAATTAATTATTTTAATTATTTTAGTTAAATACCTAAACCCTAACCCTAATTACAATCATATATATATTTATACCCCTCTCTCTCTCTCTCTCTTATTCATTTATCTCAGCCGCCTCACCCCTTTCTCTCTCTTCTCTCTCTCTCCTCTCTCTCTCTATTCATTTTCTCTCTCCCGCACCCAGATCCAACGCCGCTGTCCCCGACGATCGCCACTCCGCACATCACCGCCTCCACCATTACCCTCATTCACCACCGCACCATCATCTCCTCTTCCTTCCGCCCGATCAAGCGCCAACACGGACCCCTAACACAGCTGCCTTTACCACGCCATGCCCTCACATCACCGCCTGAGTTCACCCCACCTGGCCCCCCCGTCGTCCTCCGCCCACAGCTTCTTCGCAGCCCTGAGCCCGACGCTTCCCGTCGCCAGCCTCTTTCCCCGATCAGACCTGTCCACCGCCTGAGCCCTAGCCAAGCTCCGCCCTGCCCCTTCCTGTTTTGGCCAGCCCCAGTCGACCTCCCCCGACACTGCCTCCTCGTCACCACGCCGCCGCCCGAAGAACTCCACCAGGCGCGCCCCACCGCCTCTCCTGCAGCCCCGGACGAACGCCTCCAAACTCACGCCCAGCCAAAGCCCCCACTCCCCACCCATACCACCAGTTCACCGCCCTTCGCTGCATCCCCTCACCCACGCGCACCACACCCCGTCCGTCCCCTGTCCTCCTCCGACCAGCAACAACCTAGCTCGGCCTCCTCCTCTGGCCAGCCGCACCCCTCACGCTGGTTCTGTCCTCTCACCGTCAGCTCGAGTTTCGCCATTGCACCCGCCCGAACAGCCCCTTCGCGCCGCTGCCTTCCCCAGCGACCAATCCTCATCATCGACAACTTCAGATCCAGCCCGTCTCCAACCCCTCCTCTCGAGCTCGTCGTGCCGCTGCTCAAACTCGACGTCGCCGATAGCAGCCCTCACCACGGCGAGTCAGATAC